CAGCGGCACGCAAATGAGCGTGCTGCGATGAATGCGGTGTCCGCTGGTGGTGAATATTTGCAACGCAAGCGAACGTCGAAGAAGCTTCGTCGGACAGAACAGTCACCAGTTGGCCAGTGGCAGTGGCGGCAGCAGCCGCGGTGGATGCGGAGATGAGCAGACGGACGACGGCCTCATGACCACTAATCTCGGCCAGCTGACGCGGCGTTCGGTCCAGGTGATCGGCCAGGTCTGGATTGGCTCCGCCGGCCAAGAGAAGGCCACAGACGCTGAGAGCACCCTCACGGGCTGCAAGAGCGAGACTAGTCTCATCGCGTTGAGTCTGTGAGTCAAGGCTGGCCCCAGCCGCAAGTAGGTGGCGAACAACCTCAGGCTGATCAGTGACCGCAGCCCAATGCAGAGCAGTCCTTCCAAGCGCGTCTGTTGCGTTCAGGTCAAGCAGTCCGGCCAGTGGATCATCTGTACTGCTTGACTGTCCACTGCCAGCGCTTAAACAAGTGTATCCTGCTGTTGTTGCATTTTCCCCCCCGGCATTACGATTGCCTGAGCCGTGGTCATGACCACCTCCACCTCCGGTTGTGGTATTACTGATGCTACCTCCGCTGCCTCTGACTGAAGATAGCTCCTCACCAACACAGACACGGCTGGCTGACCCCACCTGGTAGCCAGAGCCGATGGGAGTCGGGATGTGATGCAACTGGTGTGATTCAGACCCAGAGCCAAGCACACAAGCCGAGCTGGCCAGGGCTGCAGCGGTAGCAGCCATCGACTGCATAGCCGAGAGAACAATGTCGACTAACTCTGAATGAGCCAAAAAGCGTTAATATGCAATTATAACAATTTTCTTGTATGTTTTTTGAGGTATCCCTGAGATGAGCGTCTCTGCGACCCTCTTAAGGAACATTATTAGTATAAGAAGAAAAAGAATCAAAGATCTAAATACTGAGACAATATCTTTTTAGAGTCAAAATCAAATCCGCAATAACAAGTTATATTCGCATGTACAGAAATTTTCTTTAAACGGAGACATTTTGGAATTAATTTACATTTAGCCATAGAAATAGTCGAAAATAATAAATGGGTTATTTTTTAGAAACGATTTCCAGGGAACTTCTTTGAGCGATCTTTGGTGCAAAAATAGCAATTCACATTTAGGCCATATAACAGCATAAATCTTTATGTCTACAGACATTCCTCGCCTCAAGGAATGATGAGCTGCTATTTGAAGAACATCACCTAATTAATACATTAAGTTTAGTATTAAGAAGTATATGAGATCTACGCAAACAATAAATACTAAGAATAAACAGTTTTGAAATTTACAATAAAATTCTTAAGATTCACCATAAATCACGGTATCTCACGTGTTCTTACGATTGGGCTGTCTGTTATGAAGTGAACTGAAGTCGAGACTGGAAGTGATCCGACCTAGTTTTCGCAACCTGGTTATGCTGTTTGAGGAACTAGTTGGACGCACCCTGTCCGAAGTCATCTGCTATAGTAGTTATGATAATTTCAA